ATGACCTCTTACTGTAGCACCAAGACTTCACAGGCCACACAGAAGACAAAACTCCAAGACAGTTGGTGAAAGCAACACTCACCAACCAAGAACACCCAAAGAAACTCAGAGACTTGTAAAGAGAATAGAGAAAAAAGAATAAAAACAGGAATCAAAAACAAAGAGAGCAGTCAAGCCAATAAAGAAATCCATAAATGAAAATGAATACTAAAAACTAGACTAGCAGAAAGACAAAATCAAAAATATGGGGGGAAATGCAGTATAACTAAAGAGTATTGTAAAAATAGGAAAAAAAGTAAAGTAAGATATTTAAAAATAAGGTGTTTTTTAAAAAGGAAAAAGTAAGTTAAAATGTAAAAATTAAAGGAATAATAAAGAACATTACAATACAAAAGGAGAGAGTGGTATAAGAAATATGTCCTCCTGAGTCCTCCATTGTCCCCTCCACACAGTGTACACCAGTCTGCCTGCTCAGAAAGTCCTCCAGTATTTCTGGGAAAGTCTCTGAACCTGCTGCGGATGCTGTGGGGTCAGCTCAGACTCAGATCTGGGCTTACTCTCACTTGCTCTCCAAATCCACAGTTTCCCCTGAAGTCTAGAGTCTCAGGCTAATTGCAGAGATTTAATTTGCTGCACCTACAACTACAGGAGTGAATTCCCCTCCTCTTCTTTATTCACACAGCCCCTGGTGCTCCACCTTGGTTTGGGGCCCACCTCTGTTTGTAGGCCACCCTCAAGTGTCTTCCCCACCCAGACCAGAGGGGGCAGAAGTAGCAGCTCATTAAGACTCACTTGCTCAGTCAGGCTGGGAAGAAGGGTTTTGGAAGCCTCAGATGGGGGAGTGCCTGCTGCAACCAAGGCCAGTGGGAAGTTTACACAGTCTGATGTGGGTTGTGCACTCTTCCAGGGGATTGGCCCAAGTCTTGGGTCTCTCAGTAGAGCTAATTGCATGGGCTCCCAGGGAGGTATGGGTTGTAACCTGTGCCTGATGACAGCTGCTCCTTCTAGAGTTGGGACTGCAGTAGCAGTGTTTTGTCCCCTATCTCAGGCCTTCTCCATGGCTTTGGCAGTGGCCAGTTGGCTTGCATTCCCCACTCTGGAATCATAAACTGTAGTTGTGTCTAGTTCTGCCACTGGTGCTCACTGGCTTATGTGGTGGCTTTGGCCAGGCATATCTATCTCTTGTTCAGTTACTAAGTTGTGTCCGACTCTTTGCCACCCCATTAACTGCAGCACACAAGGCTTTCCTGTCCTTCACTGTCTCCCAAAGTTAGCTCAAACTCAATATTCATTGAGTCGGTAGTGCCGTCTAACCATCTCATCCTCTGTCACCCCCTTCTCTTTGTCCTCAATCTTTCCCAGCATCAGGGTCTTTTCCAGTGAGACGGCTTTTCACATCAGGTAGACAGAGTATTGAAGCTTCAGCATCAGTCCTTCCAATGAATATTCAGGGTTGATTTTCAGTAGGATTGGCTGGCTTGATCTCCTTGCTGTTCAAGGGACTCTCAAGTGTCTTCTCCAACACCACAATTCAAAAGCATCAATTCTTGGTTGCTCAGCCTTCTTTATGGTCCAACTCTCACATCCATATATGAGTACTAGAAAACCCATAGCTTTGACCATGTGGACTTGTGTCAGCCAAGTGATGTCTCTGCTTTTGAATATGCTGTCTAGATTTGTCATAACTTTTCTTCCAAGGAGCAAGCATGTTTTAATTTCATGTTTGCAGTCACCATCTGCAGTAATATTGAAGCCCAAGCCCTGTCTGTCACTGTTTCCATTGTTTCCTCATCTATTTGCCATGAAATGATGGGACTGGATGCCATTATGTTAGTTTTTTGAATGTTGAATTTCAAGCCAGTTTTTCACTCTCCTCTTTCACCCTCATCAAGAGGTTCTTGAGTTCCTCTTCGGTTTCTGCCATTAGAGTGGTATCATCTGCATATCTGAGGTTGTTGATATTTTTCCCAGCAGTCTTTATTCCAGCTTGAGCTTCCTCCAGCCTGGCATTTTGCATGATGTACTCTATTTATAAGCTAAATAGCCATATCTAGTTCTAACTGTTGCTTCCCATCCTGCATGCAAGTTTCTCAGGAGGCAGATTAGATGGTCTGGTATTTCCATCTCTAAGATTTTTCCATGGTTTGTTGTAATCTACACAACCACAGGCTGTAGCATAGTCAATGAAGCAGAGGTAGATGTATTTTTGGAATTCCTTTGCTTTTTCTATGATCCAACAAATGTTGGTAAATTGATCTCTGATTCCTCTGCCTTTTCTAAATAAATCCAGGTTGTACTTCTGGAAGGTCTTGGTTCACGTATTGTTGAAGTCTAGCCTGAAGGATTTTGAGCATTACCTTGCAAGTGAAATGAGTGCAATCGTATGGCAGTTTGAACATTCTTTGGCATTGCCCTTCTTTGAGATTGGAATGAAGAGTGATCTTTTCCAGTCCTTTGGCCGTTGCCAAGTTTCCCAAATTTGTGGCATATTGAGCACAGCACTTTAACAGCATCTTCTTTTAGGATTTGAAATAGCCCAGTTGAAATTCTATCACTTCCACTGTCTTTGTTCATGGTAATACTTCCTAAGGCCCATTTGACTTCACACTCTAAGATATCTGGCTGTAGGGGAGTGATCACACCATCATGGTTATCTGGGTCATTAAGACCTTTTTTGTACAGTTCTGTATATATCTGCCTCTGGGGTTGGGCAATTCACAGCTGTTGCTCATCCCACCTATGGCATTTTTGAAGGTGAGTTCCTGTGATCTGCCAATGCAGGGAGTTAGAGGCTCCCTGCTGCAATGATCTCTTGCCTCTCTGAGAGGCCCAGTCTTTTCCCTGGACTCCCTCAGCTGTGTCATACTAGCCTTCGCAGCATATCTTCAGAGCAGTCAACACTGGTGCTCTTCCTGGGGTCCTGCTCCTGAAGCCTGAGCACCCAGCCCCCACTCACAACAGTGGGCATGAGTGCAAGCCACTCCTCAGCTGGGAAGTGCTGTTTGGCAGTGAACTCTGTGGTGAATTCTCTCTGTTTGCCTTCTGAGCACCTGTTGCTTTGTTCCCCTCTGAGGTTCCCAGCCTCCCCCTTGTCCTCACCTGTGAGGAGATTTCTGAAAGTCCTGGAACTTTTCCTCCTTCACAGTTCCCTCCCCAGAGTGCTGGTCCCCATCCCAAAATCTTTTTTTTTTTTTTTTAAATCTTTATCTTTTGCCCTACCTCATTCTGAGAAGATTGGCTTTCCTTTTTGGAAGTCAAGGATCTTCTGCTAGCATTCAGAACATATTCTGTATGAGCTGATCCACTTACAGATGTATTTTTGATGTATTTGTGGGGAGGAGGTTGATCTCCCCATCTTATCCCTCCACCATCTTGGAAGTCCCCCACCTCTTAGTTATTAAATTCGAGCCCTGAGAATTAACCTTGACTTATTTTCTTTATCTTCTATATTCTCTCAAATACCCTTAACATCTCATTGCCTCTCCACTGGAAGCTAGTACCACCATAGTGGAAGGAGCACAGCTTCCAGTAATGGGTCTGTAACTCTAAAGTTAGCATTTCCTTTGAGAGGACTGTCCCTTCCCTTCTCACTACCATATCCACCAAGCACTTTGGTCAGGAGATTGGTCAGATCCTTAGCCACAGTGAGTGTTCTTCAAGGTAGAGGGCTGGCGCCCACTTTCCCCATGTAGTCCGTCTTCCATTGCCTTGGCTTCCGTATTTTCCAACTGACTGCTGATTTTTAATTTCCACAACATGCAGTCACTATGGTTTCAGACATCAACAAAAGGCACATGTCCCAATTGCTGTAGGAGGTCCCCAACCAGCTCCAAGATTTCTCTGCTACTATGAAGTTAATAAGTCTCTAATAAGTTTCTTTTTTTGGTGCCATAACCCTAGCAGAGAATCCAGCCATGGCCCTTTAGCACTTTCTGAAATTGTTACAGGGTTGCCTTTCCGACACACAGGGAGCTATATCCCCACAATAGCAGATAAGCCTTCCTTCTCTGGCTCCTTTACCTGAAGTTGAATGATGTCCACCAAACCACTTAGATCCAAGCTAACATCATGAACCCTGAAGCAATACAGCAAGTTAAAATGCTGTTTGTGATAAACATTCATCTGAAAGTCAGCCAAGTTGACTTTAGAAAGCCTCACATTGTTATTTGATAGCTTCTTCCTGGTTTAGTTGCTAAAATGAACTCTTAAAATGAGTAATTCATGTTGCAAGAGAATAGTGAATGAGTCAGAAAAATTAAAAATTCACAATAGAGTAAGTTTCAAAAGGATATATGAATGTGATACCATTAAAAATTAATTATAAATACAATAAGAAAAATGTTTTCAGTAGTTACCTGGGGTGGGGGGAGCCAGTGGAGATTACAGGTAACTTTGATTTTCTTTGTAGTTTTGTTTCTCAAGTTTTCTACAGCAACCATATATCACCTTTGAACCTGATTCTTTTGACTAATATTATTTAAAAATTATAACAAAAATAAGTAGGTGTTCCACTCTAAGGAAACGAGAGTTTCTAGCAGATCCTGGTATTCTCCAGCTGATAATTACTGTATTGGGAAGTTCCTTTAACACTCTGGACTTTATTTAGTCATCTGCTAAATGAGGGGTTGAACTAAGATCTCAAAGATCCCTTCTGATGGTAAAGTCCATCAGAAAAGTTAGACTGTGAAGGACTTTTGCAAGGTGCACACTAGACAGAAATCGATCTGTTTTTATGGCTCCGGCTTTTTTTTTTTTAATTAGTAAAATGAGAGGTTTGTATCAGCCATGTTCACCAGCCTTTCTCCTCCGCGTCTGACATTCTGAACTCCTGTGGGTCAGACTCTGGCTCAGAAATGGCTTTTCACCTGTTAGTGATTCATAGACAAAATGTGCAGCCTGATCTCCTGTATGTGGGACCATGAAATAAAGATGCTGAGGCTACCAGAGGTGTATCATTAAAAGAATTCAAGTTTGAAAATCCTGTTCTTACAATCTCTTAGCAGGGCAAAGACAAGCACAAGCTTATATCTGATCTGGAAGACTGCTTGTCCTCTTTGAAGATTACAGACTTCAGGGACTATGAGTTCCACACCCTGAAGGTATCTCCTGATTTGTTTTCTGTGTGGCTTCTTTTTTTTATTTTCATCAGTATTATAAGATGTCAGATTATTGTGTTTGTTCATAATAATAGCAAAGTGCGGGAGAGAAGCCCAGACCAGGGTAGAAGGAGGTCTGCTCTCTCTGAAGCACATTGAAACCTCGGGAAAGTCATTTTATCTTAAATAAAGTGATGGACATGAGAGTACTTTGTAGACCACGAAGTCCTGTACAAATGTTAATAGTTGTTACAGCTCTCTCCTCAGTAGGCCTTCATTTCCTCATTTGAAAAATAAGCTGGTTTTTATAAAACAATTTCTGATGGTCTCTTTAAACTCTCATTTCATGATTCTTTAGTAGTTAATTTCAGCAAGTGTTACCAGTGGAACCTGGATCAGATTTCCCAGTTCTGGGTTTGGGATTCTTTTTAAACTGTAAATAATGTGTCCATCCCATGCATGGGAGGAATTGATATCCCAAAGTCATGCAGAAAGAACTGTGGTTTGGGTACCTCTACCCAGAGGGGTGGGCTTCCTGGTGACTCAGACAGTAAAGAATCTGCCTGCAATGCAGGACACCCAGGTTCCATCCCTGGGTCAGGAAGATCAACCCCTGAGTTGAAAAGATCCCCTGAAGAAGTGAATGTCTCCCCACTCCAGTTGGAGAATTCCATGGTCATAGGAACCTGGTAGACTGCAGTCCATGGGGTCCCAAAAGGTCAGACAGGACTGAGCAACTAACACTTTCACTTTTTCACTTGCATCCAGAGGGGTGCCTGGGGCTTGCAATGGGAAATCATGATTTGAGGGATTGCTTGTTTCTGCTGCACTACAAGTCCAAGAAAGGACAACAGGTCAGCCCATCAAGGTGGAAACATTTTGTTCTCTCTTTTTCTCCCACATACAGGATAAGACCTGGAATGAAGTCATGGAAATGCATCAGAAACTTCCTACTAATCAATTAGACTTGAGAAAGCAGCAAGAGGCTGTGTGGGAACTCTTCACGAGTGAATGCACTTATTTTTTGGATCATTTATTAGTTCTTAAGATGGTAATGCTGGCTTTAATTTTTGTTAGATGGAAAACATTGGTTCTTTGGGAACTTTTTTTTTTTTTTCCATGCTGAAGAAAGGTGGGAGCCTCCCCTCTTTCAGGGAATCGTAAGGAAATTTTATTTATCTTTGGTTATCTGCAACTTGGTTTCTCTCCATTCTTTTCTTAAACATAGACTCTGAAGATTGGTTAAGACCTTCTCCGTAAACTAGCGCAGTGCTCCATGTGATGTCTGAATCTCTTCTGCCTGATTCGCACCCTGTGTTTACACGCTGTTTAAGTCAGGAAGCTCACAGCCACCTTCATGGCAGCCATTCCATCTCTGATCAGCTTGCTCTTTGGGCTCTTTCACTCCCTTCTGGTCAGTCCCAGGCGTTTTGTCAGCTATGGAGCCACAGTCACCGATTTCCAAGACAACCATCCATGTGTAACACAAGGGACTGGGATTATACAGTGTGTTCATGATGTCTGTCAGGAAAATGGTGCCCCTGAAGTTGTGCCGTGCAGTGGTCCTGATCTGGGGAGGCTCTGAGCAGAGAACTCCTTGTAGAAGAACCACAGGGCAAGGGGTAGGAAGGGAGAAAATTCCTTCTAAGACCACAGGGAAGGATGGACCACATTGCTCCCAAGGTTGCCTCTGACCATAAGCACTTTCAAATCCTGGCATCTCTCATACCCAGGAAAAGGCACTGTCTTAGGAGACATGAGCTCAAGTCCTAGGTCTGCCTCTGACTTGCCTTGTAAACTTAAGAAAGTCTAGTCTTCCATTTCATAAAACAGAAGATTCTTTCTGTCAAGGTCCAGATAGTAAATATTTTGGGCTTTGCCAACCATGTGGTCTTTATTGCAACTACTCAGTTGTTCTGTTGCTGTGTAAAAGAAGCTATAGATAATTTGTAAAGAAATGTGTGTGGCTGTGTTAAAATAACACCTTGTTTACAAAAATGGGTAGCAGACCTGATTTATCCCACAGCATGTCTTTTGTTATTTCTGTTCTAAGCTGTAAGAGGGATAACAGTGCCATAAGATACGATCATTGTGATGACCAGATTAGTTTCCTTTGAAATCTTGGAAGTGCTATACAGATGTTAGTTATTTACTGTAAGTAATATTTATTGTGTCAGTCATTGCTAAGTACTTTACCAGCAAAATGTAAACAGCAAAGACACTTAGAAAGTTAAAACTTGGAGATTGTTTCAGTTAGGATACAGAAAACTAGTTAAGTAAGACAGTATATTTTTGACCCATGTAACCATAAAGCCCAGAGGTGAGAGAAAATACAAGGTTGGTTTGATCAAGGGGCTCAAAATCAAGGACAAAATTTCTTTTTGTCTCTCATCCCTGCCTTCCCTGATCTGAGCCTCATCCTATGGCCAGCTTCTGTTATAGTCTGTTATAGTCTGAGTAGCTGTTGTCCTTGAGGCTATGGAAAGAGTAAGAAATAGAAAGGGGAGGGAGAGAGAGAAAGAGACAGAAATCTTTTCTTAACATTCATAGCCAGAGTCTTGATTTTCATTCCTTTTGGAGTGGTTTAAGTCACATGCACACTGTTAAACCAGCTACCCTGTTAAGGAAGGAGGGTGTGCATTGTCTTAAGGCGATCACATTCAAGGAATGAGGAAGGGCGGATACTGAGGTGGCAGCTGGGATGATGTTAAGGAAAGGGGAGCACTGAAGCTGAGTGGGGACTGATCGATGTTCACTACAGAGCATTCACAGCATGAGCTCCACGGCCTTCCTTTGCCCTAATAAACAAGATGAAACTTCCACTCCCACGGTCAACTACATAAGCTTTTTAAATTAGCATTTTCTGTTTAAAAGAAGCTCAATTAGTGTTTATTTTCAACCCCCTCCCTGGTATTTAGAGTGTATAAGTACCTCCCTTTACACAATCAATATAAATTTCCCAAAGTTGCTTGTAGATTGGAATTTTGCAATTCAAATCCACTGAAAGACTCGATATTTTTCTTAAATGGCAAAAAATTCTATAAAGCAAAGAATTTTTTAAAATTTATTTTAATTGGAGGCTAATTACAATATTGTGGTGGTTTTTGCCATACATTCACATGAATCAGCCATGGGTGTACATGTGTTCCCCTCCTGACCCTTCTTCCCCATCCCATCCCTCAGGGTCATCCCAGTGCACCAGCCCTGAGCACCCTGTCTCAGGCATCAAACCTGGACTGGCGATCTGTTTCACTATGATAATATACATGTTTCAATGCTATTCTCTCAAATCATCCCACCCTCACCTTCTCCCACAGAGTCCAAAAGTCTGTTCTTTATATCTGTGTCTCTGTTGCTGTCTCGCATATAGGGTGGTCATTACCACCTTTCTAAATTCCATATATATGCATTAATATACTGTATTGGTGTTTTTCTTTCTGACTTACTTCACTATGTATAATAGGCTCCAGTTTCATCAACCTCATTAGAACTGATTCAAATGCATTATTTTTAATAGCTGAGTAATATTCCATTGTGTATGTGTACCACAGTTTCCATATCCATTCATCTGCTGATGGACATCTAGGTTGCTTCCATGTCCTGGCTATTGTAAACAGTTAAAGCAGAGAATCTTACAGCACAAAGATGATTTCTTCTTAATGTCTCCAATTTATCTGAAGTCATGATTTCTGTTTCTTACTACTATATGTTTTAAATGCTTAGATACTGACAGATTTCCAGACAAATGGTGCTCCCTAGATTGCAGGAAGCTCTAAATCAGTGGTTCTCAAAGTATGGTCCCTGAACCAGCAGCATCAGAATCACTTGGGAACTTGTTGGAAATCCATATTCTCATATCTCATTAGAGACCTTCTGAATCAGAAAGGCCTGGGGTAGGGCCTGCTAATCTCTGGTTTAACAAGGCCTCTAAATGATTCTGATGCAAGTTCAAGAACCGTTTACTGCATTGATTAAGTAATATGGAAATAGGAATTGGAAAACATTGGTGATCTAAAGCCCAGTCTTTTCATACCTGTAATTCTTGACTTACTTGGTCCCTCCAAATGCTTCATCATACTGATACAGAGTATTCCTATTTCAATATATTGATCTCTCATTAGTTTATTGAGTGAGGGACAGGTTATCTGTAAGGATTGTAGTTTTTTCTTGACTTGCTGTAGGAAAACATCGATCAACTAACAGCAACATAAAGCCGCTCTTAATGTTTTCATTAATATTTAATGGCTTTATACAAATCTGAACATCTTACCAGTTATTGGATATTCACTCATTAGTTCTCTTTTCAATTTCCTGAAAGTAAAGGACATTCAAGTCTTTGCAGAGAAAGAATAAATAAAAACTGAGAATGAATGTTGTTTTGGTCTCAAGTAAGTGCTCCTGGCAAGAAGAGAACCTTGGAAATTTCTTTGGCACTGGGAGGAGAGAAGCTTGCTTGAACAAATTATATTCTACAGGAATGTTGTTAGGGCTCACACGGCAACGACTACTTCATATGGAAGAGCACATTTCCCATATGTTCTGTGGAGCTTAAATGTCATCATTTGTGTTTAGCACAATTCCTAACCACTGAAAATACTTATCTCTAAGTTGTTTTGTAAAATTATACTCAGGAGGTTTATGTTTAATGTTCTTGCAAAGGGCAAATATCAAAATTGAAAAGCAAAAAGTAATGTGTGTTTATTTCTTTTAAGATCTTCATGAATACATTAAAATATCTACAGACTCATGAATATCTCCTGGATGTGGATTTATGGAGACTTTTTGCAAACCTGGAGGAGCTAAGTCAGGTGAGCCGAAGTAGGAAGATTCCAGTAGCCATGTTTTAAAAATGACCAAGGGACCATGAAAATTTATGCTGTCTCTTTTTGTGGTTTGTATTCCATGTTAGCATATGGAATATGGTTTCTTCCATATTTCTTCTCCATGTAATCTTACGGTCAGGAGTTCAGGTTAATAAGAAGGAAATCTTTCCAATAGATTGCAGCCATCAGTTAGCCTTCAATAACATTTTCTAAAATTCTTCTGTGGTTATTTAAGAAAATAATCAGAATGCTCACTTCAGCAGCACTTGTACTAAAATTGGAATGAGACAAAGATTAGCATGGATTCTGTGCAAGAATGACACACAAATTCAGGAAATGTTCCATGTTTTTTCTAGAATACAAGTTCTGGAACACCTTCTAGAAGTTCATACCTTCTATTGTATACTCAGAAACCCATCTTGTTTACTGTTTTATCCAGAAGACCTCAGACAGTGCCTTGTGCATAGAAGGACTCAATAAGTAATGTTGGGTACATGAGTTTCCTCAATAAATAATGTTGAATACAAAGAAAGAAAAAAACGTATTCATAAGTGTTCCATCATCATAAATGACTAGTCTCAAATGAATGTTCTTTATCACATGTATTATAAATAATAGCCATCTTTCCCCTAAAAAGGAAGCAAAGAGAGATACTACAGGAATTCATTTATAAGAAAATATATTAGAGAGTAGAGGAAAATCTTTAAATTTTTCCAGGGAGATAAATTGGAAGTAGGAAGCATCTGCAGGAACAAAATTTGAAGTTCCCCAGATATTTATTTCTTACCCCTGCAAGTGTGCCAACTCTGTTTTCCTTTCTCCCTGGCCCTAGACAAGCTTTGGTTTTGTGAACAGTCTTTTCCATATCTTCAAGGACTACGTTGACACTTGTGAGACTTCACCATCGTTGGATTTTATTTCCGTGCTCACAAAGGTAAAATCCTCTTTGGGGTATCTCAGCTTCTGTGTGATAAATTCACCCACCTCTCAGGACGATTGTTTATATTTCCTCGACCATCGTCATCATTGTTATTTCTGGGAAAGTTCTGCCAACACCCTCCCACAAGGGAACCATCCCTTTCTCCACCAATCAACATTTTCAAAAATAAGTTGCGGATTCTGTTTTTCCATTGTTATCTCTCCTGTGTGAGTTTTATTAATACAAAATCTGCATGCATGGTAAAGCCATTTCCAAGTCTGTTTTTCAAATGACTTCAATTTAAAGCAATATTCACAGCAATAGTTTGTGCAGGCTAATTACATGGTTCAGTAGTTGTTCTAACAAAGGTGCCAGGCTTTCTGAAAGGAATAAAATAAACCTTCAAATCCATCAGCACCCTTAATAAGACTTCTGTGTATTAAAGGAGGAGAAAGGAGGAAGACTTGTACCCCTGGTCTGATAAAAGCTATTTTTTTCCTTGAGTAGATAATTTGAACTTTCTCCCCTACTTTGAGCTTTTGAATCCTGTTTCTACCTGTCATCATTTAGCAAGATTTAAGTTGTTATAATCCATTTTTAAAAATAAAGATTAAGATGTATTGACTTGTAAAGATTATACTCAGGTTTATGTTTAATGTTCTTGCAAAGGGCAAGTATAAAAATTGAGAACCAAAAGTAGTGTGCATTACGAAGTACTTACGTGTGGGGCTGATAACCTATATGTGATAATGTGCAGAATTAGACACGCCCCTTACTTTGGGGGGAGTTTTCATTCTAGTGGGAAAGAAATTAATCAACTAATGACACCAATGATTATATAGTAAAATTGAGATCAGTGCTGGGGAAAAAAGATACATAGATATTATGAAAGGAAACTTCTAGTTTGGGGCAGATGGTGAGGTAGTTACAGCTAGGAAATTCTTCCTGAGGCAGTGAAGCTTGAGGTAAGATATGAACAAGGACTATTTAAGAAGGAAAAACAAGCAGAAAACTAGGCATAAAGTGGGGAGATCCTTCAGTGAACTCTGAAAGCAGATTAGAATAAGAAAAGCTTTGAAAAACAGGAGAAAGAATGTAAAGTATTGGGAATTGGCTAAAATCTCAGGATCTCCTAATTCCTTTAAAGTCAAATTATTTTTTTAGGACCATTGCATGCTACACATGTTTTATTTTTGCTAAACAAAGGGCAGAGCCCTTAGTAAGTTAGATAATGAGCATGATTGTTTGGTTGTGTGTTGGTTCAGGGTCTGAAGTCCCCTTGGTTTTCTTGATAATTTCTGTACTCCATCAAGGGCTGGGACAACTGGTAGCCTCTCTCCATTTGGCTTCTTGGACTAACCTGGCCATCCTCCTCTAATTGTGATGAGAAGAAGCACAAAAGAGCATCAACACCCATTATAGATCCAAGTATATCATTCCTCTGCTGGTCTTGGAGGAAGGATCTCCAAGGGTGAGGGGTAGCTGCAGCTCTCTCTTGGGACATAGACGCTGTGGCAGACATATCCAGGAGTATTCATCTGAAGGCTGACATCTTGCTTGGGACATTAGCAACAAGACCTGGCCCCCTAAAAATAATTTTTAATTCAGTTTTTAGTGAATAGTCTGAAGAAATACCAACTTTTCATCAAAACACCTAAGTAGTCTATCTTAGTCTGCTCAGGCTCTGTGTAACAAAGTGCCACAAACTGGGTAGCTTGTAAACAGCAGAAATCGATGTCTCACTGTTCTAGAGGGTGGACATCCAGTACCCGGGTGGCAGCCGGTATTGTTAGGGCCCTCTTCTGGTCACAGACTTCTCATTGTATTCTTCACATAGCGGAGAGGGCCAGAGAACTCCATCCGGAGTCTCTTTTGTAACGGCATTTATTTCATTCATGGAGGCTCCACCTTTGGGACCTCATCGTCTCCAGAGGGGTCCGCCTCCTCCAGTACCATCACCTCGGGGATTAGGATTCAGCATTTGAATTTGAGGGGGACACAGCTGTTCAGACCATAGGATACATGTCCTTATAGCCTAGTAAAGCATGGACTCTTCACTGAAAGTCTATAGTGATAGCCATATATGAATGCTTCCTGATATGTTGCACATGTGCAAAGGTGGGCTGCAAAAGTTTTTCCTAAATTCAAAAAGGCCTGTGTCAGGTTAAATTCAGTTGTGCCATGGAAAGAAACCCCAAATCTCAGTGGCTTGGTTCACATCTCACTCATGCTGTGTTTCTGCTTTGTCATTGTCCTCACTCTGGGACCCCTGCTGAAGGAGCAGCCACCATCTGCAATGTCACCACATCTCCAGGGCAAAGACATAAAAGACTGAGGCAGAATGCTCACTGACTCTTCAAGTTGCTGGCATATCTGTTCACATTCATCAGCCTCAGAAAGTCCCATGGCCAGGCCTACCCTCAGTGGTAATTTAGGTAATGTGAATGTGTGTACTTACACACTGGCCACCTGCCTTTTTCTAATATAAATTTGATGTGGCTTAAGAATGTGTAGTCATTATAGCAAGAAGACATTATATAAGAATAGTGAAGAAAGGGAAAGGCAAGTGTCAGATTAGGTAAAACAAGGACATAAAATGCTCGCTATGAAACAGTACATTTAATGAGGTGCCCCAGATTTGACTGTTTTTTAGAAGCTGGCAGGAGAATTCAGTTTATGGATATTTCTGCAGAAGATTTTATGAAAGGTTAGATGTTGTTACTTCAGTCACGTACTATGAACACAGGCTGCGGCCGTGTCTGTTACCAGGTACCATGCAGCCTGCGTAGGCCTCAACAAAGCATAGATGCAAGTAAATGGTGAATTAAATCAAGATGTCCCAAATAGTATTTTTTTTAAATACAGGCAAAAAAAGGCAATTTACTGAGGAGTTACTATTGTTCAGTCACTAAGTTGTGTCCAACTCTTTGCGACCCCATGAACTGCAGCATGCTAAGCTTCCCTGTCCTCACTATCTTCTGAGTTTGCTCAAACTCATGTCCATTGAATCTGTGATGCCATCCAACTATTTCGTCCTCTTTCACCCCCTTTCCTCCTGCCTTCAATCTTTCCCAGCATCAGGGTCTTTTCCAGTGAGTTGGCTCTGCATCAGGTAGCCAGAGTACTGGAGCTTCAGCTCCAGCATCAAGCTTTCCAATTGAGGAGTTAATGGTTTATTATGGGGATACCATTTTTTAATAGTGTTTACTTTGATGATCACCTGTTTCTCTCCATGCATACATGGTTGATAATGGTGTGTCCCCAACTTTCCCTGCTTTTGTTACTGATAAAAGTGAAGAGGTCGTCTCTCTGTGCTTTTCATCCGTTCACTCTCCCACGCCCTTCTCCTCTTGCAGTATTTCCGAGGCAGCCTGTGTCAGAGCCACCAGACCTATTGCCTCAACTACTCGGCTGCTGTCTTTTATCTCGAGAGCCTGAAGCAGAGACATGACTTTGGAATTTATTTAAAAGTAAAGTACCTTTTTCTTTTATATTTTTCCTGAGACTCTTTGGCTATAACAGGTACTAGGAACTATTAGACCCAAATTAAGTGGAACAGGAGGGAAGTAAGTGATCAGGCATACATTTTAACTGCAAACCTGCTTTCAGTAGGAACACATCATCCACTGCAGCATTAGGATTTTAAATAGTGTTTATCTGGAAACATTGTACCACTTAACGTCCCTCCTGACATTTTAACTGGGGATTTAAAATGTTTTATTTGTCCACTGGTTTGTTTTTAGAAGAAGTTGGTGAGAAAACTACAAGTAAGGATTGAGGCTTTATTTGTGATACACGTCTGGCTCTTGTAGGATTTGGTCCCAGCAAGGTCCTATTGCCCAAAAGCTTGGTGCACCATTTCCATTGTATTCTACGTGAGTGGCGCCTCCTAGAGAACATCATAGCACACAGTGTAAATGCTGCCCCTGAAGTTGTCCAGCATGGCAGCTGTGGGTCCCAAGTGTTATTCAGTTCAGTCACTCAGTTGTGTCCAACTCTTTGCAACCTCATGGACTGCAGCTCGCCTGGCTTCCCTGTCCATCACCAACTCACGGAGCCTATTCAAACTCATGTCCATCGTGTCGGTGATGCCATCCAACCATCTCATCTTCTGTTGTCTCCTTCTCCTCCTGCCTTAAATCTTTACCAGCAACAGGATCTTTTCTAGTGAGTTGGTTCTTCGCATCAGATAGTCAAAGTATTGGAGTTTCAGCTGCAGCATCAGTCCTTCCAATGAATATCAGGACTGATTTCTTCTAGGATGGACGGTTGGATCTCCTTGCAGTCCAAAGGACTCTCAAGAGTCTTCTCCAACACCACAGTTCAACAGCAGCAATTCCTCAGTGCTCAGCTCTCTTTATAGTCCAGCTCTCACATCCATTCATGACTACTAGAAAAACCATAGTCTTGACTAGATGGATCTTTGTTGGCAAAATGATGTCTCTGCTTTTTAATATGCTGTCTAGATTGGTCATAACTTTTCTTCCAAGCAGCAAGCATATTTAATTTTATGGCTGCAGTCACCATCTGCAGTGATTTTGGAGCCCAAGAAAATAAAGTTTGACACTGTTTCCCCATCTATTTTCCATGAAGTGATTGGACCAGATGCCATGATCTTCATTTTCTGAATGTTGAGTTTTAAGCCAACTTTTTCACTCTCCTCTTTTACTTTCATCAAGAGTCTCTTTAGTTCTTCTTCACTTTCTGCCATTAGGGTGGTGTCATCTGCATTTCTGAGGTTATTGATATTTCTCCCAACAATCTTGATATCAGCTTGTGCTTCATCCACCTCAGCATTTCACATGATGTACTCTGCATATAAGTTAAGTAAGCAGGGTGACAATATACATCCTTGACATGCTCCTTTCCCAATTTGGAACCAGTCTGTTGTTCCATGTCTAGTTCTAACTGTTTCTTCTTGACCTGAATACAGATCAGGTGGTCAGGTCAGGTGGTCTGGTATTCCCATCTCTTGAAGAATCTTCCACAGTTTATTGTGATCCACATAGTCAAAGGCTTTGGCATAGTCAATAAAGCAGAAATAGATGTTTTTCTGGAACTCTCTACCTTTTCTGATGATCCAACAGATGTTGGCAATTTGATCTCTGGTCCTCTGCCTTTTCTAAAACCAACTTGAACATCTGGAAATTCACAGTTCACGTACTGTTGAAGCCTGGCTTGGAGAATGTTGAGCATTACTTTGATAGCATGTGAGGTGAGGGCAGTTGTGAGGTAATTTGAACATTCTTTAACATTGCCTTTCTTTGGAATTGGAATGAAAACTGACCTTTTCCAGTCCTGTGGCCACTGCCGAGTTTTCCTAATTTGCTGGCATATTGAGTGCGGCACTTTCACAGCATCATCTTTTAGGATTTGAAATAGTTGAAGCTGAAACTCCAATACTTTGGCCACCTCATGCGAAGAGGTGACTCATTGGAAAAGACTGATGCTGGGAGGGATCAGGGGCAGGAGTAAAAGGGGACAACAGAGGATGAGATGGCTGGATGGCATCACCGACTTGTTGGAAATGAGTTTGGGTAAACTCCCGGAGTTGGTGATGGACAGGGATGCCTGGCATGCTGCAATTCATGGGGTCACAAAGAGTCAGACATGACTGAGCGACTGAGCTGATGCTTCCTAAGGCCCACTTGACTTTGCATTCCAGTATGTCTGGCTCTAGGTGAGTGATCACACCATCGTGGTTATCTGGGTCGTGAAGATCTTTTTTGTACAGTTCTTCTGTGTATTCTTGCCACCTCTTCTAATATATTCTGCTTCTGTTAGGTCCATACCATTTCTGTCCTTTATTGTGGCCATCTTCGCATGAAATATTCCCTTGATAGCACTAATTTTCTTAAAGAGATCTCTAGTCTTTCCCATTCTGTTTTTTCCTCTATTAATTTGCATTGAAGGCTTTCTTATCTCTCCTTGCTATTCTTTAGAACTCTGCATTCAGATGGGTATATCTTTCCTTTTCTCTTTTGCCTTTAGCTTCTCTTCTTTTCTCAGCTATTTGTAAGGCCTCGTCAGACAACCGTTTTGCCTTTTTGCATTTGGGGGGGGGGTGGTCTTGATCACTGCCTTCTGTACAGTGTCACGAACTTCTGTCCATAGTTCTTCAGGCACTCTGTCTATCAGATATAACTGCTTGAATTTATTTCTCACTTCCACTGTATAATTGTAAGGAATTTTATTTAGGTCATACCTGAATGGTCTAGTGGTTTTCCTTAGTTTCCTCAATTTAAGTCTTAATTTGGCAGTAAGGAGTTCATGATCTGAGCCACAGTCAGCTCCCAGTCTTGTTTTTGCTAACTGTATACACCTTCTCCATCTTTGGCTGCAAAGAATATAATCAGATTTTGGTATTGACCATCTGGTGATGTCCATGTGCAAAATCTTCTCATGTGTTGTTGGAAGAGGGTGTTTGCTATGACCAGTGCCTTCTCTTGGCAGAACTCTCTTAGCCTTTGCCCTGCTTCATTCTGTACTCCAAGGCCAAATTTGCCTGTTACTCCAGTTATTTCTTGACTCTACTTTTGCATTCTAGTACCTTATAATGAAGAGGGCATCTTTTTTGGGTGTTAGTTCTAGAAGGTCTTGTACGTCTTCATAGAACCATTCAACTTCAGCTTTTCAGCATTGCTGGTCAGAGCATAGACTTGGATTACCGTGATATTGAATGGTTTGCCTTGGAAATGAACAGAGATTATTCTGTCGTTTTTGAGATTGTATCCAGGTACAGGCATTTTGGACTCTTTTGTTGACTATGAGGGCTACTCCATTTCTTCTAAGGGACTCTTGCCCACAGTAGTAGATATAATGGTCATCTGAGTTAAATTCACCCATTTCAGAACAGATTATTTGTGCTCAGGACCTTCAGTGTTTGCAAATAAGCAAAACTGGAAAAATTTGTCCTCAACTTCTCTAGTTCCTTTGAACCACCTGCCCCCCCACCCCACTGGTTTTTTGGAGTTGTTTTTTTTTTTTTTTTACATATATTTAGTCTGAACTATACCTTTCAGTATTATGCCAGAACTCTTTTTATGACCCCAGAAAATGGTCCATGCCATTCCAGAAAGCCATGCAGCTGCAAGAAGCACCTGCCAGAGCATCACCTCAGGGCCATAGGAGGAAGAGCCGCCACACAGAGCTCACAGTAACTTTTCGCTGTGAATCAGAGTGTCTCTGCCACGGCCAGAGTGTGTCGGGAAACCAGGGTGCGGCATAAATAATGTTGGGAAGAGCCATGGCCCTGTTTTAGTAGCTTTAGCCTTTCAGTGTTTCCTTTGTTACTCAAACCAAAACCTGAAAGCTCGTTAGATTTCATGAATAAACTTGTTGCAAAACTTGTCCCTGGAAGCTGGTGGATGAGACTCCTTGCCTGAGATTCCTTGCCAGACTGGGAAGAATCCAGGTTCATTCCTCTCCCTTCCAAGCCAGCACAAGGTTCAGACACTGTTTTCAAATAACTGGAAAATCCCTTAACAATTGTGACACAGAAGTTTACATGTATGAGATATATATGGCATCCAGAGATATTTAGGAAAAAGAATGGAGGATGCACTGTTGTATTGATAACATGTAATACTTTTATAAGCATCATGCTTTGCCAAGCACTTTCTCAGACATCCTTTTAAATCTTACCACAAATCTGTGAAGTTGATTACATTGTGTCCCCACATGTCCCTGAGACTCAGAGAGGTTATGTGACCTTTGTAAGATCACAGGACCAATAGGTGGCAATAAAAGAACCTGGATAAAGGTCTTCAGGCAAAACACTCCAGTGCACTTTACTCCAGGACTATTTACAACTCCTCAGGCCTACTTCCTGTTGCAAAGGAACTGTTAGCATCATGAAACAAAGGTTGAAGGGTCAGGGAGAGGCTTTGGGAGGGCTTGGAGGCAAATCTGCCTTCCACAGCCCCAGAGCACAGAACAAAGCTTCATCACAGATAATTAATAATGTAGAATGATTATACATACGATAATACAAATACAAAAATGATAATACTAAAAGTGACTAGTTTGCAGGCTTTGGCTGTGGCCGGACACTGTGCTGCATGCTGATCATCCCTGATTTCTCTGTCTGCACAGTAACCTTGTAGGATTTGATGTGATCCTCATTTTTCAGGAGCTTAGAAGAATTCAGCAACTTGCTTAAAGTTTGTTCAGGGCAGGGGCAGGATTCAAATCTGTCAACCTGACCATCTTTTTCCTAGGCTTTGATATAAACATTGTTGGAAAACTTTGTGGGCTTCCCTGGTGGCTGAGACAATGAAGAATCTGCCTGCAATGCAGGAGACCCAGGTTCATTCCCTGGGTCAGGAAGATCCCTTGGAGAAGGGAATGGCCACTCACTCCAGTATTCTTGCCTGGAGAATTCATAGACAGAGGAGCCTGGTGGGCTACAGTCCATGGGGGTCACAGAGTCAGACACAATTGAGCAACTAGCACACTTGCACTTAACATC